GGGGAAGGGGGAAATACATAGTACAAAATATGAGGAAACTTCCTGGAAGCAACTATTTCAAAAACATGGGATAATACCCATTGAATCATGTCTCCAAAGTGGAATAAAAATCAGAGATGGGGCTGGGTTGTGGGGTTTTGAGGTTTGGTTTGTAGTGGTTGTTTCCTTGATTTTTTAAGGCTATTATTTGGGTAAAATGAGGGGTTGTGTTTGCTGAGAAAAGGGGGCAGGGATGGGGGCTATAATGGGTGGTTTTGGACTTATAGGTTTGGGTTATTTGTGAGGGAATATGGGCAGGAATGAGTGGCTAGTGGTGGGTCCGGGTTTTGGCTCTTTGTGGGTGTTGTGTTGGGATTGAGAGGGATATTTGGCCAGGGATTCAAAGGGAGGGAGAAAAGGTTTTTTATTTGTTTATTAAAAGAAGGAAAATAACAACAAACAAAAGGTTTTGGTTTCTTATTATTAACCAGGGAATAAAATAGATGGCAAAGGCTTTATTTTGGGACAAAGAAAAGATAAAAGACTTTTGGATATGTTGGGAAGGGTTGGGATTTTGGTGGAGCCATCCAGGGGTATAACAAGGGGGGTGTAGGACAACCACGGTGTCAGTTTGGGTTTTGAGATAGGGCAATAGAGTGAATTTAATCCAAATAACATCCCCACACTTCGGCCTTATTCTCTTGATCCGCCTTCCCTTTTGTGGGCTACGGAAAGTCTTCATGGATGCTCCTAGATATCTAACATCCTCCCCTTCTTCGAAAGAGTTTGCCCTCAAACTCGAGTTTTGTTTGAGTTCATCTTTGGGGTGGGACTCAATCACGTTTGAACCTTCATCTTCGAACACTCTAAGATCATATTTGTTGCCCTCAAACTTGAATGTCGTCTTCCACTCACCTCCAAATAACCTTCATATTTGTTGCCCTCAAACTTGAATGCCGTCTTCCACTCACCTCCAAATAACCTTCATATTTGTTGCCCTCAAACTTGAATGCCGTCTTCCACTCACCTCCAAATAACCTTCATATTTCTTTCCCTCTAACTTGAATGCCGTCTTCCACTCACCTCTTTCAAAGATTTGAATTTGATGATAGCCACTTCTAAGATCAACCTTTGAAAAGATCTTAGAACCATGTAGTTCGTCCAGCATGTCTTCCAAACGTGGGATGGGGTATCTATACTTGATAGTGATCTTATTGATAGACCGACTATCACAACAAATATGCCACGTTCCATTCCTCTTTGGCACCAAGAGTTCCGGGACAGGACAGCGCACAGGCTAAGGGTTTCTCTTACAATGCCCTTAGCTAGCAATTCATCAACTTGTCGCTGAAATTCCTTTGTCTATTCGAGATTCATCCTATAGGCTGGTTTGTTAGGGAGGGCAGCCCCCGGGATGAAATCAATATTGTGTTGTATGTCCCATTTAGGAGGGAGGCCATGGGGGACATCTTCGGGGACACCATGGGCATAGTTTTCAAGGATAAGTTTGGCCAAGGGATGGGGCTGTTTTGGGGGTGTGAGGGGCTTGGCTTCTCCATCTTCCAATAGGATTAAATCTTTAATCTCATCGAACTCATGATGCTCATATTGTAGGATGGTGGAAATAAGAACGGGGGGTTGTTCTAAGGTTGATTTGGCCGTACGAGAGGTAGGAGGAGGTAGGGGGTTAAGGTAATCTTCCTCTTATTCATCAAGAATGAATAAGTATTGACATAGCCATCATGTTGCACACGGTGATCAAAGAGCCATGGTCACCCCAAAAGGATATGACATGCATCCATAGGGATGATATCACACCATACATCATCTTTGTAAGATTTGCCAATACTCAAAGAGATAAGACTTTGCGTATCAACACGTAAGCCCTTGCCATGATTCAACCATTGAATCGTGTAAGGCTTAGGATGTGGTGAGGTCTTCAAGTGCAGCTTGTCCACCTTTGTTTTAGAAGCCACATTTGTTAGGTTCAAGCTCAAGGTAGAAGAGGGTGTGGCGTTGGCCGAATGGAGTGATGGAAAAGGGTGATACTTAGGAGTTTATTTGGCTGGGAATATGTAAAGGGTGGGATGTGTTTTTAGGGGGTGATGGTTGGGGCAAAAATGGAAGCAAAGGAGAGAGTGTTTTAGGCTAGTTTTTGAGTGAAGAAAGAAGAGGAGAAGGTGATATTTAGGGTAGAGAAAATGGGGAGGCCGGAAAGGAGGAAGAGGAGGATAGAGTTCTTTTGTGATTTTATTTTAAGGGGAGGATAAACCAAGTTAGTGTTAGGAGATATTACACACTCTTAGCTTAACTTGGGGTTGAGTCTAGTATCCAAATAAGATATTACACACTTAAGAGAACCACTCTAAAGATATAGATTTAGGAATTTAAATAGCAAGCACCATAAGTGTATTACTAAAGAAAAGAAGAGTACATTACATGCATTGCAAAGGCCCTAGGCCGAAATATAAATACACAAATACGGAAAGTTACTAAGCGGATCATTCACACAATTTTTAAAGGAATAACAACCATTTATTAATGTCCTTTTGGTAGGGAGAATTTAGAGATGGGGCTGGGTTTGTTGGGGTGGAGTTTCACCCTTTAGCGTATGGAATTTTTATGTGAATAATACTCATACAAGTTGATTGGTTATTGGGCGATGCATTTTCGGCCAAATGGGGGCAAAAGAGAGAGGGGATTGGCTATTTTTTGGATGTGCCTCTTGGGTGATATGTGGGGAACAAAAGGGAGTTTATTGGGTTGGTTGTGGGTCAGGGCTGTGCGGCCTTGTTGGGGAACATGAGGGGGTACATGGGCAGGTCTATATTATATGGAATAGGAGAGGAGTTTTTGCTGGTAATGGTAGGTTTATTGTGGGAAATAAGGGAGGGGTTTTGTCTTGGTGTCTTCGGATCTCATATGTGAGATTGAAGTGAGTTGTTTCGTTGTGGTTTTGCAAGGGATTTCGGCCAGGGGGTATTAATTCAAAGGAAGGGTAATGTAGGGTTCATGGTATGTGGTGGTGGTAAGCCAAATGAAGGATTGTATTTTGGGGTTTTTTGGTGGATTTATATTTTGGGGTTTGATTTGGTGTAGGGGGGTTCGGCCTTATGGGGTGGAGAAGTCCAAGAAGATTAAGGCTAGGCTTTGAGGTTGTGTGATGAATTCATCCCCAAAAGGATCATAGTACCTAGTCATTATT